TTCATTTGGCTTCTTGGGGGGAAGGTGTCTGGAATCACCATCATATGATATTCAATTTACAGGGGGGTTTTGTGGGGAGGGGGAGAGTGATAACTGCTCCCCCATCCCCGTTCTTTCCGCTTCCTATACTACTTAACATCTGTGTCTGATTTTGCAAACAATCAGGAAAGAGCCACCGACATCGCTCTGTCTCCCCCTCCCCTCGTTTCAACCCCCAGTTCTTTTTTTGGGGGGGGGCAGCCGGTTGTAAGCAGCACCATTGTATCTCTCAAAAGTGTTCCCTTTGACAAATAGGGTGTGTATTGTGCGGGGAGGGGGGAGAGGGATGTTATTGTAAATCACTGTATCCTTTTGTGCAGAGGAAAGGCTGGATATGGAGGGGGGGGGAGATAAGAAGGGAGGGAGGTCTTTTTTCCACCTTCCCCCTACATATATTCTGAAATGTTGATTCTTTGTGCCAGCTCTATGCTTGATACCGAGGGCTGTATAGCAAATATAAGTTTGGTGTTTATTTCTAATTGCTTCCTGCTTTTTTCTCCCCTCCTGCTCTGTCATTGTATGATGATTTAAGTTATGCTCCAGGCTGAGTGATGAGATGTTATCAACGTTTTATCTCTTTTTTTAAATGTCTGCATTTGTTTTGTGGTTGATTTGCCTTTAGCTCCTCATTTCTCTCTCTCTCTTTTTTTTGGTAACTGCTTAAGAGTAAATAATGGTGAAGGAAGAAAGAAGGTAGCAGATAACTGTTCTGGCACCTTACATTTTAGGGGAAAGTGAGATCTTGTTTTTCTTTTCTTTTTTCCCCCCCACCTGCAACGTATCTCCCCCCTCCCCTCCTTCCTTGCACCCCCTTCCTTTATTCCTCCAACCTAGAAGGATGCATTATGTATCCGGCCATCTCTCACACAGTCTGGCCTACAGTAGCCCTAGGAGCATTCTCCTTTCCTTGCAAGTCAAGTAAGGCACCGTGAGAAAAGTCTTGTAATTTACAATGATTGCTGTGAGGGGGAAGGGTGGGCGAACAGGTTGTTTACCTACCGAAACCCATTTGTACATACAGACTTTTCTCTCATATGATAGTATTCATTTATACAAGATATAGCTGCTTTGGGGGGGCACATGCATATGGTGCTGGCTGGGTGTAGCTTTCTAGAGTTGTTCAGAATGTGTGTGAGAGAGTGATGGAGAAAGGAATATTGATAGATTATAGGCATCCATGCACGCTGACTCTATGCATAATGGCTATGTGTGTTTGAGTGTGCGCATCCTTCCTGAAACGAGAACGAGGAAATTCTGGCTGATATCTTGCCTGCCATGGGTTGCTGTTCCAGTTTGAAGAGGGAGACCTAGAACTGGCTTAATGCTTCGGAGGGCGGAAACAGAAGCCTGAGGCAAATTACAGTAGTATGGTCTTGGGGGCAGATTGATTTGGGGTAAGTGGGTTTCCTTGCTCCCCACCTCCAAAAGTAACCTCTCGGTTCAGTGCCTGTGTGTAGGTAGGCCTTGGCATGAACCCCTGTGGCTGCCTCAGGTCGACCCTTGGCAGGAGGCCTTGCCTTGTTTATGCCGCCCCTGCTCTTCTCACCCCTGACTAGGAAGCCATTCCCTTGAAACTGGGGTGTTCTTAGGGACTCTGCCTCATATGACAAGGCAACAGAAATATTCCTGGTCTTTGTCCCGCTTTCATTTGTTTGTTGGCTTGCTTTTGACGATGTGATCCATATCTCCTGGGAGGGGGAGTTTAGAAATGTTATTAATAATGTGTGTTTTGAAAAGAGGTTTGTTGGCCAGTCAGCTGGAAGCATTCTTGTAAAAAGTGTGGGGTCATCACAAAAGAAGTTTCTTTGGTGGAGCCTGTTTCAGGAAGTTGAAAGGTCCCAAGTAGCCGTGGCGGAGGGGTAAGGATAATTAGGCCTCTGAGGGTTTGACTCAGTTTCCTGCATGGGATGTTTAAGACCCTGGCCTCCTACCTCTTTCTGCCCTAAGCAGACCTGATAGAAAAGCCTAAGAACCTCCTAAATTGCTGGAACGAGGCATCTCCAGTTGTGAAAAGGCATTGGCTCTTTCTAGTTCTTATGCTACTAATTGTATGGTGTTGATAGCAAGCTATGGAATATGCCCCCCTCCAAATTTTGTTGGACTAGAACTCCCATCAGCTCGATTCATCAAAATCGGTAGGTAGCAATGATGAGAGTTGCAGTCCAGCAACACCTGGGGGGCCATGTGTATTTCATCCCTCATTTATAAGAACATTGGGCCCTAGTCTTCCAGCAGGATAGAGTGTGAGTCAGATGTATGTGCAGTTATGTTTGCAGATTAATAGAGGCTGGATGCAAGTGGAGTCTTGTCCTTCTAGACAGATATATACTCTGTTTATTTTGCTTTTTGGAGCCTTCAGTTGTGTATTCTGCTTGATCAAATTTAAAATGGGGGAGGGGGATGATTTTGTAATGTTTGAAAACAGATAAACATGTAAGTATTGGGTAAGTGTCGCAGCAGGATGCTCCACCTCCTGGTGTGTTTTGGGGGCTGTTTTTAGGATTTATGGTAATCTATTGTAAAGCGTGCAAGGCATGCTTAAATGTGTGTCTGTAGCTCATCCATTTCTCAGTGTAATCTCATGATGGCATGAGATTACAGAGAGGCATGCATGGGGTTGGATGTGACCAGAACAGGGCTTTTTTGAGCATCTTATGTCTACAGCTTTCTTGTGCTGTGCCCTGTAGAGCAAAAGGATCCCCTTGTCTACTTAGTGCTTGCCCATTCTTCCAAGCAGCCCACCCCATGAGAGCAAAGCTGTCTAGAGTGCATTAATAAACATACATTACATAAATTAACCATACAGCAGCAGCTTCTAAAAGGAGTCGTGGTCTCTCCTTCCCGTATTCAAACTGATCCATGTCACTTGAACAAGGAAAAAGCACATGATGGCAGCCATCCATGGGGATATCGGTAGGGAGCCTTCCAAAATTACATTTAGCACATGCTTGCACAGAGAAATTGTTCCTACCAGCTAGCCAACCACCCCCATCTGATTTACTCATGATAATGAGTATATTATGAAAAAAAATATTGGGGAGAGGGAAGCTTCTGTAGTCCTGTTTTAGACTCATCCTGATGTGTGGTCAAAACTACTGTAGTTGTGAATGAGATGACTAATGTCATGGAGGCAGCACACTTGTTTTTTTGGCAGTTTTACCATATTATGAAGGAAAATAATAGGCCAGGATTCTACTCCATAAAATAAAAAGTACTATGACTCAAAATATAAATTTCCATTTATCCCTTTCCTGCTTAATTTTGGACTTTGGAAGTAACAGTTCCAGAGTAGTCTCTTAAGTTGTTTGGAAGGTGTACTAAGTGTCATATTCTTGACTAGTGGTCTGTAAAGGTATTGCCTCCTCTTGCACTTGTATTCCTGACAAGGTTCTTACAGATGGGTTAGCTCCTTGCCCTATTAGGTTCTCTGTTACAGAATCACTGCAGAAGAATTAGCATCCAGATCCATAAGTGTGTTAACTCAAGAGGCTCTCGTGAATTTTGTACAAAAATCAAAGGTGGTTTTGTCAGCTGTAATTTAAATAAAATTCCAGTGTCCCATATGAATGTTAGCTTTATTAGCTGAAAAGGTACAAGAAATGTACGTAAGTTTTCAAGATTTCAGCATCAGGCCAGATGTTACAAGCATCAAAGGTTGTATGTAGGGGGGAAAAACTGATTTCTTGTTGGGATCACACTGTCTGCTTGATATCCTGAGATGGAGTCGTCAGTTTAAGCAAGACTTGCTTCTGGGGAGGCATGTTTAAGATTGTAGCCAAAGATGGCTTTGTAGTTAAGGTTACTTTAGGTGAATGGTTTGGTTTTATTTTGTCCCAGGATGCCTCCCCCTCTCAACCCAGACACATTTTTTCTGACCACGTCATTGAAGACCTATTAGGCCACTGTTTGTTAAACTAAAGGTTTGGGGATTCTCATCTCTTTGGGAGAGAAATGTAGTCAGTGTGTTAGGGAGAGAGGCCAAAGGGTAAGGATCCAAATGTGGGCATCAAAATGCTTTATTGGCAGCCATGTCTAGGAGTTAAGTGCTCTTTCTGTGGTATATATTTGGATCTGGGGTCTTTTCTGACTTGACCTTGCATGTCTTCTGCTTTGTTTACAGAGCAACTGAAACAATGGAGCTTCGAGTAGGGAACAAGTATCGACTGGGACGAAAAATTGGTAGCGGATCATTTGGGGATATCTATTTGGGTGAGTTTGTCTTTCCTGCAGGAATGCTTCTTCTGACTTTTAGAGGATCTCAAACTATGGAGCTGATGTGTGAGAGTATTAATAAAGGCAGACTCTGGGCGCAGACAGACTGGAGGAAAAGCAATGCTTTCTGAGAGAAGGAACTATATAGAGCTGGGTTGGACTGCTTTTGAATGAATCTTTGCACCTACTGTTTTTTTTATTGTGGTCTAGATTATGCTCAACCATATATAAATTTTTTAAGCTATGCAACTAATAAGGTAGATGATGATGAAGATGAAAAATAATTTTACACCCAGATTTTCTACTGTAAGGTGCTCAAGGCAGTTTAAAATCCAAAAGAAAATAATTTTAAGAAAACACAAGCAGTGACAGAGATAGGAGGAAGAGCTTAATTCAGGCAACAGATGTCAAGGGTTAAATATCTGCCAAAAGATTGGGAGACCAAAATGGTTTTTATTTGACTCTTAAAAAATAGAAGGCCAAGTGACAGTGTTGGGAATGGAGATAGATCCTGCCCAGGTGGCAACTCATCTCTCTTTTTTTAAAAGTGGAGGCCCAAATAATAGGGTCTCATATGTAACAATCTTTGTGAAAATGCAGTGATCATAATTGTGTAGTCATCTCCTTATTGGGAAGCCCTTTTTGCCATCTTTGTTGTGGAGGTTGTAACTTCAAAGGTTGACTATGTGAGTGACCAAATACGGAAGCACAGCCTCACGAGCAAAGATTGATCTTCCTTTTTGTCACAAATACCTCCTGAATTGACACTACGTTAGCTTCAAGAGTATGAGGAGCTGTTGGCAGCAGTCAGCCTGGAGGCTTTGGTTCGTACCTCTTTGCATCTGGTCAGGATAGAAAACCAGAAGGAGAGGAGGTAGCAGCATTTTGAGATCAGAGATTCTGTGTCTCTCCCGTGTAGCTGTGACTTTTAACTGTGGGGAGGTTCGAGGTCCATAGAAGAGAATTCAGGTGCAGGAGGAAGCATACTTGCCACCTCTGTTGTTCTGTTTGCAAAGTGGAAGGTTGGCCTGGAAGGCAGAGTACCCTTTGAGATACAAAATGGGTAGAGCCAGGAAGGAGCCTTGTTCTTGAAGACTTGACTTCATGTGTTCCACATCATGGGGTTGTAGCCACTTCCCTCACCAGACTTCCTCCAGATTTGGGGAGTTGTAATACAGTTTGTCTGGAGGGCATTGGGTTGTGAGAAGCTGACATAAATCATTTGTGCCCGTACCTTGTCTTCCTGTTTTAAAAGCGTAGTCATGTCTAGGTCTGTCTTTTGATACCATATAGGTTTGTTCCCGTACATAACCACACAATCTTTGTGCTTCTGTCCCATTTTGTCTATTTACCAAAGTGCCCAGTTGCAAATGAAGTGTTCTAGGTGTGACGTTCTTGCCCAGTACTGTACTGAAAAGGGCTACACTCTGAGGGATCTGTAACATGATGCCACTGCATACACAGTCTCCTTTGCATGTCGTTGACTTTCCCAGCAACTAGTAGTGTCTCACATAGCGATCTCCATATCCAGTTCTCTCTTCTGGCATTGCTACAAGATTTGCCAGCTTCAGTGTGTCCCTGATTCTTCCTCTTGAATGTTGTGTGATCCAAGTTTTCCATTCTAAACCTGTTAATTTTTCCTTACTCTATTAATGTTAGATTTTTACATTTTCCCACCCAACTGAGCCCTTACATTGGATCCTTTAGATGTTGACAGCAGTGTTATCCAGGTATTAAAAATTCATATGTACTGTTGACTTTTGAACTTGTTTTAAGTCCTCATGTAAATACCTGTTCACATACATGTATATCTGTCTTCTTCCTACCCTGTTGTAAAAAATCTGGTTAGCTCTTTCACATCTTAGGTATGATATTCCCCCTTAACCTTATTTAAAATCAGAGTGGTCTTAGCAACACAGTTAAAGCACCAATGTGGACAATATCATACTGTTTTGAGTCTTTTTGAGGTAGATGCAGTATTTTTTGTCAGTTGTATCTTCCCACGTTGAGATCTGTTATCTCATAACTGCATTTATTAAACTCTCCTCGTTATATTACTTTTCCCATTGACAATTTCCAAAAAATCTAGTTTCTACTTGTCAAAAATTCAACATTCCAGCAGGTTCTGTTTTTCAGTCAGATCTACTTCAAATTTACTTCTTTTCCTTTGCTTTTTGCCGCACTCATTTCATGTTGAATTTGTGCTTTTCTGTCCTTCTAGGATGTTAAACTCATTTTCAAATATTACTGCCTTTCTATACTTGAACAACTCTGAGGTAGATTATTCCAGCACAGTAATTTGACTGAGACCGGTCTGATGTGTTTGATTGATGAACAGGAACAAGACCATCTCTTTGGTCATCCCCTTGTTTTGGACCATGCTTTCAGAGACTGCCCAACAACAGTCTCTATTAATGTTCAGAAGATGGCAATGGCATGGCTTTTGAAGCAGGCCTCTTTGGAGTAATTTTTATCTGTGGTCTTGTTTAAATAATAACTGATACTGGTCTCCCCTTGATCTTTCTCGTGTTTACTATGAATTTGCCTTGAGAGACCCTTGGACATATGAAGCAGGCTATAAGCATTTAGATGAACAAATAAAAATTCAGGTCCAACTCACATATTTTGCAAACTGGATACAGTACTTACACCCAGAGGAACATTCCCTTTTCTGAATGGCAAGCCGTTTATCAAAAGCTGCTTCTTCAACAAATCTGTTCTCTTCCCACAGTACCTGCACTTTCACTAACAGCTGACATCCTCTCTCCCACCTGCAATTTGTCAATCTTTATTTTCCACCCCCAATCTCAGTCTCTGTGAGGCTCAGATACTCTGCAGTCTGTTATTTTCCACCCCCAATCTCAGTCTCTGTTTGTGAGGCTCAGATACTCTGCAGTCTATGGTATGTCAACCAAAGTGCTGCTGCTGTATTCATCAATGGCTTAAACCTAATAGTAAGTCACAAGGAGAGTAGGTCCATTAAATCTCGTTCAACTCCTCCATAAATTTTGTCAATTCAGTGGACCAACTCTAGTTGCAACTTAGTGGTGGAATTTAGAAAATATTGTATATAATTTGTAGTTGTTCGAAAGACTCAGTGGGTTGCGGTGATTTGATAGCACTTTTGTGCGGTTTTAAAGAAAGATGAAAGTAATTCGTTCTGCGAGTAGTACCGTCTTGCGAAATTTTCATCTTGCGAAAAGCAGTTTCCCATAGGAATGCGTTGCAATTCCGTCCTATGGGAAACATCACAAGACGGATGAATTATTTTTGTCTTGCGGAAAAAAATCTTCTTGCGAAGCATGGCCATGAAGCCGTCTTGCGAGTCACCAACACGATCGCAAAAACCATTCGTCTTGCGGGTTTTTCGTCCGGTGAGGCGTTTGTCTTGTGATGCACCACTGTACTATACTCTGATGAACTATGTGCATCATCATCATCATGTTAGTATTGCAGAGCTGGAAGGGATCTTATGGATCACTGAGTCCAGCCCCTGTCAAAGGGGCATAGTGGGGAATTGAACTGCTAACCTCTGGCTCCCCAGGCAGATATCTAAATCACTGAGCTATTCAGCTCAGTATTATGCTTTTCCAGATAATAGAATACATATGGGGAGCTAGAACGTGGAAGATAAGATTTAAACTCAAGCCTTTGGTTTGTTGTTTAGTTGTTAAGTCATGTCAGACTTTTCGTGTCCAACCCCTGTCTTTCACTGCCTCCCGGAGTTTAGTCAAATTCAATGTCCATCCAGCTTGTCCTGTGTTGTCCCCTTCTCCTCTTGCCTTCACACTTTCCCAACATCAGGGTCTTTTCCATGGAGTCTTCTCTTCCCATGAGATGGCCAAAGTATTGGCTTCTCATCTTCAGGATCTGTCCTTCCAGTGAACACTCAGGGTTGATTTCCTTCAGAATGGATAGGTTTATTCTCCTTGCAGTCCAGGGAACTGGGAGCAGTGGCCATGATCTTAGTGTTTTTTGTTTGGTTGTGTTTTTTTGGTTTTTTTTTGATGTTGAGCTTCAGACCGTTTTTGGCGCTCTCCCCTTTCACCCTCATTAAGAGATTCTTTAATTCCTCCTCACTTTCTTCCATCAGAGTGGTATCATCTGCATATCTGAGGTTGTTGATATTTCTTCCATCAGTCTTAATTCCTGCTTGGGATTCATTCAGTCCAGCCTTTCGTATGATGTATTCTGCATAGAAGTTAAATAAGCAGGGAGACAATATACTGTACAGCCTTGTTGTACTCCTTTCCCAATGTTGAACCAATCAATTGTTCCATATGCAGTTCTAACTGTTGCTTCCGGTCCCACATAAAGATTTCTCAGGAGGTAGATAAGGTGGTCAGGCACTCCCATTTCTTCATAATCCAGTGCATATCTCTAGTTGGTATCTAGTTCCTCTGCCCTTCGAAATCCAGCTTGTACTTCTGGGAGTTCTCGGTCCACATACTGCTGAAGCCTACCTTGTAGGATTTTGAGTATAATCTTGCTAGTATGTGAAATGAATGCGATTGTACGGTAGTTGGAACATTCTTTGGCATTGTCTTTTTTTTGGAATTGGGATGTAGACTGATCTTTACCAATCCTCTGGCCACTAGCTGAGTTTTCCAAACTTGCTGACATATTGAGTGTAGCACCTTAACAGTGTCATCTTTTAAGATTTTAATTAGTTCAACTGGAATGCCATCACCTCCACTGGCCTTGTTGTTAGCCAGGCTTTCTAAGGCCCACTTGACCTCACTCTCCAGGATGTCTGGCTCAAAGTCAGCAACCACACTATGTTGTCCAGGACATCCAGATCTTTCTGTATAGTTCTTCTGTGGATTCTTGCCACCTCTTCTTGATGTCTTCTGCTTTTGTAAGGTCGCTACCATTTTTGTCCTATCTTTGCACAAAATGTTCCTTTAATAGCTCCAATTTTCTTGAACAGATCTCTGGTTTTCCCTTTCTATTATTTTCCTCTATATTTTTGCATTGTTCATTTAAGAAGGCCCTCT